CACTTCCCTGACTCCCCTTCATTTACAGGTTTTGTAGGCTATCAGTCATGGTTAAAAAATACCTACTTAATGTCCAGGACTAAACTTGAGCTGATTTTCAATGATCTGATGAAGCTCATTTGGGTTTGGAAGGCGACCAGATTCTAGTTTAGACCAAATTGGCATGTCTAAGAAAACAAGCAAAGTAACATGCTTAACAAAGGCTTCAAAATTACTGTAAGATTAAATTTTTTAACAAAATTGTCTCAAGTCAGAATCTCTTTACCCGTGATTAGATGTACATACCATTAAGTGAAACTTCGAAAGCTCCTGTGGATATTAGCTGTCCTTCAACCATGTTTGTAACAAAAAATATAAGAATACAGGCGTACATCTGGGTAAAGAGCAAAATAATTCCACATTTAAAAGCTTAATACTTTGAAGTAAAGGTTAGTGATTATTGATATGTATATACATGTATGCCACTTTGGTAAAAGTTATGTTTTCAAGTAGTGCTCAATATTATTATTATTTAGAAAACATCCCTACGATAAGATGCATGCTGATTGGTTTAAAATCAAGGTTTTTTTTTTAATATTACTCGATAGAAACACAGAACTAGCACAAGCTGTTAACTGACATAATGATGGTGCAAGTAAAGAGAATTTAGTTGGTTTAAGTTGTTTTCTTTTTTTCAAGGTGGTGTGTTCTAAAAGAAATAGAAAAGATGTTCTCCGTCCTTTTTTAGTATAAATCTTCTAGTGTTCTGTCAAGAATGCCGTTCTCTGATTGGCCACGCTACTCACTATCTATTCTGTAATAGATAGTGAGTAGCATGGCAGTGTGCCCTTGTTAACAAAATGACAGCCACTTTCTGGCCTTTTCAAAGTGTCTGATTTATACTAAAACAATTAGATTATTCGCTCCCGATNCCTGTTACACCCAGCCTACTTTCGACTTCTACCTTTCAGTACATTGAACTCACTTCCCTGACTCCCCTTCATTTACAGGTTTTGTAGGCTATCAGTCATGGTTAAAAAATACCTACTTAATGTCCAGGACTAAACTTGAGCTGATTTTCAATGATCTGATGAAGCTCATTTGGGTTTGGAAGGCGACCAGATTCTAGTTTAGACCAAATTGGCATGTCTAAGAAAACAAGCAAAGTAACATGCTTAACAAAGGCTTCAAAATTACTGTAAGATTAAATTTTTTAACAAAATTGTCTCAAGTCAGAATCTCTTTACCCGTGATTAGATGTACATACCATTAAGTGAAACTTCGAAAGCTCCTGTGGATATTAGCTGTCCTTCAACCATGTTTGTAACAAAAAATATAAGAATACAGGCGTACATCTGGGTAAAGAGCAAAATAATTCCACATTTAAAAGCTTAATACTTTGAAGTAAAGGTTAGTGATTATTGATATGTATATACATGTATGCCACTTTGGTAAAAGTTATGTTTTCAAGTAGTGCTCAATATTATTATTGTTTAGAAAACATCCCTACGATAAGATGCATGCTGATTGGTTTAAAATCATGGTTTTTTTTTTAAATATTACTTGATAGAAACACAGAACTACAAGCTGTCAATTGACATAATGATGGTGCAAGTAAAGAGAATTTAGTTGGTTTAAGTTGTTTTCTTTTTTTCAAGTGGTGTTTTCTAAAAGAAATAGAAAAGATGTTCTCCGTCCTTTTTTAGTATAAATCTTCTAGTGCTCTATCAAGAATGCCGTTCTCTGATTGGCCACGCTACTCACTATCTATTCTGTAATAGATAGTGAGTAGCATGGCAGTGTGCCCTTGTTGACAAAATGACAGCCACTTTCTGGCCTTTCAAAGTGTCTGTTTGATACTAAAACAATTAGATTATTCGCTCCTGATTTCTATGCATGATAGTTGACTCAGGCTGTACCCTCGTCAGCTACATGCATCACACGATGGAAATCTCAAGCTCATAATCTAATTGCTAAATAAAAACAATTGTGGAAGTTTGAGAGAACTCGAAAAAGCTGTGGAAACACTGGCCTGTTGGCTTGTGTTCCCACAGCATTTCTTGTTCTCCCAAACTTCCACTTGTGTTTCTATAACTCGAAAAAACACAGTACATGTTTTCTATTTCTTAAAAGTATATTAAGGTTCTTTTTCAGGTCGATGCAATTATGTACAAAACTTAATTCTATCAGCTTTAATGACTGTCAAACCCTGATCACGATGGTTTTACATAGAGCCAGATGAAATAATCAAGGAAAGGCAGATACAATCATGATTTAACAACATAGTTTATCAGTTCTAGTGGCACAGGAAATATGTATAAGACCTGGGTATGCGAAACAAGCTACAGAACAGTGTTTTGCACACTAGTAAAATGTGAAGTTTTGCCTTTTTTAAAAAGTACATGTACATGTAGCCCAAATTTTATTTCATTGGTTTTATTGATACAATGGTTAGAGACTTCAGCGAAGAGTAATTAGAAAATTAAGAAAAAGCAGGGGTTCATTAACGATTTCAGCAGGAGGCTAACTGGTTTTCAAAACTATTTGAACTGAACATTTTTATGGGAAAAACTTTCCCCAGATGGTCAAACCAACTAAGCCAAATTGTCCTCACAGCTGTTCACTTTGCCCGGTGGCTGGCACTTAATGAAACCACTAAAAAAACTTCTTAGAACATTTTTACAAGAATTAAATGTTGTACTAACACACCTTAGTTTTAAGCATGACTTATCTTGCTCATGAGATTTCAAAAGATTAACTAGTACATGTACAAAAAAGGCAAAAAACACTCTCTTCGTACCTTATTTTGTGTGGCCCAAATGTAAGCTTGAGGGGGGTTAATATTAAGGTTTTCCCAAATCTGTAACCGCTCACCAAGGAGAACGACAGCCATAACTGCTAACTTCACTACACTGATAACACTGGCCAGCATTTGACGGGGACGGGGCGGGGGGTAATTGTCGCCTTCTATGCGAACCA